CTAAATAATTACTGTCCAAAATAGTGTCTTTTGACTCTGTCACACTTAAGTAGATCCTCATTATTATCGATTGAGTAGAACGGGAAAATTGAAAGGCTGCAATGATGGCAAAGCCAATCAATATCCTTAGAGGTATCATATTTATAATCTCTAAGAGAAAGGTCGGTGCACTTTAAATGACTACTTTGATTACAAACAAAACATTTAAAATTTTCGAYCATTTMTMTTAATAAAGATTTTGCAAACACTGYAAACAGTCCTACCTACATCTTGCATTTAAGAGCTGTCATCATCAGTATCATTATCAGGTGTATATTGTCTTGCCATTTCTTGAGATTCCAGTTTTTCAAGATCTCTAGATGAGGTGATCTTTRCGGCCGAGCTTGACTGTTTTCTTCTCAAATAAATCGAGCCATASTTCGTCCAAATGAACTTGTAACGTAGCTTCTTTCGCGTGTCCAAAGTCTGTTTATACGGTTTCTTTCTTTTAACCGTCAAACTTTCTTGTATATAGATCTTATTGTCACCGTATCTACCAAGGCCAATATCACTTATATTGTAGCWTTTTAGCTGCTTTTTGTATCGAAAGAACTTATCTCGCACCCTTCTGTTTGTGAACTTGACGATGATGGCAAGGGTAGCACGAGGTCCACTCGGATTAGATGGAATTGGTAATCTATGACTGATCGAGATATCAGCATCCTCGATTGGGACATGAATAAGTTTGCCAACTGACTTCACTATATCATCCGTGTCTTCACCAATTATAGAAGGTATGCCTCTAATTTCTAGGCATTCACGGCGATGCAATTCTGCTTTGGCTTCGTTGAGCTCATTTCGTAGAGAAGCTGTTTGCTCCTTCAGAAATTGATTTTCACGTACAAGTTTCTTTTGCTGATCCTCTAAATTARATATCACTTTGTTAAATTCATCGAATTCGTTACTTATGAATCCATAGAATCAACGAGAGGTTTTAATTTCGCATCCAAYTTCTTGTCGATGGCGGCCATCTTCTAATTCACGTGTTCGAGGACTGTATCAAGAATCGAACTTAATAC